AATTTAGAATAAAAACAATCATTAACAAATCATTAAAAATTGTTTTAAATGCTACAAGTGAATTTAGACCACTCCATTACAATGTGCAATACGAACAATGGATATTTTGAGATTTGCTAAAGGTTACAATTGAGTGTTATTAAAATATTAGTGTTTTTAAAGATTACAAATTACAGCAAATGTAAATCAAATAGGACAAAATGTCTAACATCAACTGCTCTCCAATATTGGCTGATAACTGAGATGAATCAAAACATTGTGCACTGATGATGTGCTAAAAAAAAATCAAACTTATATCCAAAACAAAATATAATACGAATGGTCATTGGATTATTTTGAGATTCCATAATGTTTTTTTCATTTAACCTCTTCTTTTATGAATCTTAATGGCACAATTCTTCAAACTAAAGTTCATTCATTTACAGTACATCTAAATACTACTAAACATGTCAACATTGCATTCTGTTGTCAACAGCCAAATAACCAGCAAACAAAAACCAGCAATATGGGTAAATTAGCAATAGTGTTTGTGTTTTTGAAAGCAAGCAATGGGAACATGTAACGAAAACGCACATAAATAGTTTGTAGCATAACAGGAAAATGAGATGTTTCCAAAAACAAGCTTAAATTAGAGGTTTTACTGTGGGCACACACAAAATGTCAGACACAAAATTAAAGGAAGATGACTGCTGAACATCCAGATTAATTTGTTTTTCATTCATGTGAGGCTATGAGATATGATTTACACAGCAGGGGACATGTTTGAGCAGCACTGTTTGCAGGCATGTAGATTCTTGATGGATAACTTAGCAATCTGAAGAGGGAACAAGATGTTTTGGTGAACAAATTTAGTGCAGATTGCGGAGTTAATTGCTCTGATAATATGAAACTTAGTGTGAAGGGATATGCCAAAACACATGAGGAAAGCAACTGCACACAGCGACTTTAGTTTTAATGAGAAAAACCAACACAATTCATACATCACTGAATTCCAGAGGTAGATTTTCTGTTGGCTGGAGCTCTGCTGCACTGAGGTACATGTCTGTGGGCACAGACGCCAGCTGTTCCGGGGCAATAGACTCCTGCTCAGGCTGGTACATGGGTGGAGGCAGGGACAGGTGCAGAGGACAGCGGGGGTCTTCTGACTGTCCCATGTGCACAGGCCGATCACATGGAACGTCCTTCAGACCAAGGCACATTTTGAATAAAACTTGGCTACTGTCTTGATAAATGTCTATTGTGAAGGGTTAAGAAGATTAAGAGAACTAGCATTGGCATAACTGTGAAATATCTTTTAAATGTCAAAGATATGGAAAGCTGGAGGAGGTGGAAAACTTGAACTGTTCCTTTGAACTGAATCGACTTCACCCATTAGATAACACTGGGAAAGTCAACAGACCATAAGACTTTTATATCAGCCGCTGTTTGAAACCAACAGCTACAGCAAGCTGTGGGCCTTCATTCAGGGCTACAAGAGCATATATACATCTAAATAGATGTATGCCCATATAAACAAAGAAAAATACATGTATATTTAACATATAACTAATTAAATATGCATATTTCCATTCAAAAGTTTAGGGTTGGTAAGGTTTGTTGTTTTTTTTTTGACAGTGACAGTAAAGACATTGACAATGTTACAAAACATTCATATTTCAAGTTCATATTCATTATAGAATCCTGCAAATATGCATGTATAATGTATCATGTAAGGAGACAGCATAACTGTTTTTAACATTGATAAGAAGAAATGTTTCTTGAGCAGCAAATCAGCATATAAGAATGATTATGTGCCACTGAAGACTAAAGTAATGGCTGTTGAAAATTAAGCTTTACCATCACAGGTTTTACTGTTTTTTGAATCAAATAAATGCAGCCTTGGTGAACATGAGACTATCAAAAAAACCTGCAACCCCAAATTTTTCAATGGTAGTGTGTTTTGTGTGTATTTAATAGAAGTGGTAACAGTACTAAAATATTGAGTGAAAAAACAATTAAATAGACCTGAACAGTTAATGATATATCGGACATAAAAGGATACGAGAGACACAGTGTCGCGTCATTGGCAAACACGGATTTGAACAGCGAGTCCCTTCCACAAAGGAAATACATCTCTGGCCCAAACGCATTGCCTGCGCAGAAATAAAACACACAAGAGAATTAAAATATGCACAAATAACATTAATAAAAAAATAACAGAGCGTGACAGTAGGCTCAGACTGACAGTATGGAAAAGCCAATAAAATTTCAAATATGTCTGTCTCATATGGCAGTGTTTAAATCTTCTATTGTCTTTCTTAAGACAGAAAAAGAAACTAAGACATTATTAGAAAGTCCATTCATACCTGTGGCGTTCCTCCCTCAGTAATCGCTTGTCTTCTCTGTCTGAGCTGGCGATGCAGCAAAGCCTCCACACCATAGCGACGGCGATAGCGACGTAGAGCCTTTAATTTTTTCAGGTTCTCTCGTTCCTTTGTGGACAGCCCCTCTGGACCCGTTAACAGGCTGCTCCCTTGTATCACAGCACACAAGTGAGTATATATGCTGACTGGATATGTGATATCATGAAATCAAAGAATGACAGCAGCTCCCTTACCAATTGTCTCATGTTCAATTTTGCGGCTGTGCAGGTAGCGCCGTTTCTTTTCTTTTAGTAAATGTTGCAGACGTTTAAATTGGTCAATGTAGAGGGACTGAAGTCTGATTAGCTTTTCACGTGTTATGAGTGCCACTTCCTCTGCTGTGTAAACACCCGCATGCCTGTAGAATGTCACGCTTCATTATGACATCTCAGGTGACATTAATAAAACTACATCTGACAAAGCAGTTAAGTAAAATAAAACTGAGGAATGTCTCACTTTAAAGGGTCTTCGTGGTCACTGTCAAGACTTTCATCTTCACTGTCGGGGTCTCCTCTCCATGTCTGATCCAAAACAACAGGATCCTGCTCCTCTTCACTCCAACTCTCCTCATCTATACAAGGAAATACATATAGAATATATCACCATAACAAATTACATGCAACTTTGCGTCTCTTATAGAATTTTTTATTTTATTCTGTTATGTTCAGATCTATTAAATGTTCCACCAAATACTAAATAATACAAAATATGACTTATTTTAGTAACTCTATATATATATATAAAAAATAAAAAAAATAAAAATTGCTGAAAATGACAAATGCAGTCATTACATAAATTACAAACTATTAGTTATCAGCCTTTGATGCAAGTTTTAAGACAGCAGGAAACTACATTTTTTATGTTATTTAATAAGCTGCATTCTGTTTCAGAGAAGCATTTCCATTTTGAATCATTTTTGGGTATAAATAATTATTTTGTTACTTATAATACACTTTACACATTAAATGTCACAGTAGCGGTCAGTTCACACACGCACAAGTTTGTTTGCATCACATCAAGACTTTAAAGTGATTTCTCAATGTTCACAAGGCCAAAAGCATGCCTGTTAATAATTAATGGCACATGATTAGAAGCAAGTTACATCTCACCTAGTATGCGACTAGCTTCACTACGGCCCTCTTGACTGTGAGCTCCAGTTTCCGGGTGACTGTAGCCACTGAGCTGAGACAGCAAGACTTCAGGGGAAGGTCCTGAGGCAGATGCCTTCCGCATTTGAGCTTGCTGAACCAAAGCATTTCTGCGTGCATGTTCAGCACAGAACGATACCCTAAGAAAAAGAAAAACAACATTATTGGTCAATTATTTATAGTAGGTAGTAAGCATGTTAAGGGAATAAACAAACACCCTTACCCCTCCTTTTTCTCTGGTTTTGGGGCTGCATTGGGGCAGCGCTTGCCATTCTTGTTAGACACATAGCTGCATTGCCTGTAGGGAGCAGTTTTATCTTCAAGTACATGTTTGATGCAGAGCTCTAGGCCCTCCAGACGAGGCTGTGAACAGGGTCTCTGGGTGTAAGAGCAGGTCTGAGGCTCTTGAGCACGAGCAGCTTGAGTCACTCGACCTCTGCTGGACGGCAACACGTGGATCCGAATCCTGTTCATCACTGATGCAGTGAGAAAGACAATATAGCCAATCAAATACAGACACCATAATATTACAGTTCAACATTACTGCAGAAATTAACCAAGCTTAATAGAGAATGCATAGAGAATAACCATGAAATTATAGATTTTTTTGAATAACTTTTACCATTTTATTACATCTACATCAAAATTTTAAAACTCCCTATTTCCAGATTTTTCATGACCTAATACTTACACTCCCTTTACAGACCACATGTCATGGATGATGCACTTCATTGCCATGACTGTATTTAAATGTAAAGTGACCAAAAAGGTCCAAAATGCAGCATACAACAGAATTACGCAAATCTACTGAAGATAAACACTGACTTGTTTAGGCTAATGTAACATTTTAACATAACACGATAGCGTTCAGACTTTACTGTAACGTTACACATTAACATGCGATGCGTTCAGATTCCGTTAAAGCACGTGTGCCATACACTGTAATCTCCACAAGCATTAAAATATTAATTTCTTTAACTCTGTATTAGCAAAAAACGGTAACGTTAACATAATAGAAGCTGCAAGTCCTCAAACATTACAAGAGATAAAGAAGATTGACGTTTTAATCTCGTGCAGAAAGCGCTAAATTCACACGTCAATACTGCTGTTCGGCCATCTTTGAATTGGGAGGGTAAAATACTCTTGGTTTAAACCGATGTTAATCAATATATATCATCCGTTTAGTCTGAGACTGTTTTAATACGTTACAATTTGTCATTTCTACGTGTAAAACTCACCTATAAAGTACTACTTTGTTATCGTTTACGTGAGACCTCCCTGCCGCCCCTTCCAGCGATCATCGCAATGAATGCACAACAAAGAGCTGCGGAGGAACGTCATCCATTTTAGCGCCCTCCTACGTTTACGTTGATTGGACCATAACCTTGCAAGAATCAATTCGATTGGAGGAAAGCACTCCAAGATCGAGTATAGTCCTTTATTATTGGCTACTCTATCTCAGAGCAGTGTATGCGCCAAAGGGTGAAACATAATAAAAGCCGCCCAGCAATTAACAGAAGCAGATTATTTCTTTTAAATTAAATAATTTAATACAAAAGCGTAAAGTGCTTGTAAATTCATGTTTTGTTTTGTGCAATAGATTGATCTTGTCCATAGAGCAGCCATGACTTGTACATTCTTCTCAATTTCCTCAGATTTGGTTTGGGAAGATCCTGTGGGGGTATAAAAATGAGACTATCAAAGAAAAACGTTCAAAATATATATGAAAAAAAATATATATATATTATATATATATATATATATATATAATGTGCTATGGCTCATCATTATATGCTTTATCAGTACTTATGATATTCAAACCTGTTTATAATTGACAAAAAAGTGCACTTACAAAATCAGATTTGTTGCAGATTAGTTGAAACATACCTGTGGCTCTTCCAGGTGGTGAAGATCAGCCAAAGGGACGATTGAAGGTCTTCCGTGAGCACACTGGAAGGGAAGCTGACAAGAGGAGAGCGAGCTCACCAGACTACAGCACTCCTCTTTACTCAAAATGTCATTGAACTTAATTGCTCCTGTTAAAATAAATAATATTAGATATTATAACATTTGAATATTTATGAATAAAATAAGAATATTTTGAAAATGCTAACTATAGCAGATAAATATCCCTACATAAGTTTAAAAATTACACATTTCCTGTGTTCCCTGTAACAGTTTCTTAATAGAATGTGTTTCAACTGAACTCAGTGGTGAATTTATAATACCAACCATGACAAGCTTGTGAGGCGAGCACATTATGAACTGTCAAAGGCAGCATTCCCCTCACTCTTCCTGTTGAGCGGAGAAGCTGCAAACATGAGTCAAAAGAACAAAATTGGTCATAAATGTATCCTTCAAGCTCCAAAATCAGACCATTTGTAATATTCTGTTCACAGATTAGATACAAATCATGTGTGGATATGCTGGTTCACCTCAATGTGTTCTCGCAGATAGTCCTACAAAATAAAACATACAATTCGAGTCTAAACTGAGTTGAAATTAATAACAAAAAAAAAACATTAGAACTAAGTCTGACCTCTGCAATGGTTTTAATGACCGACCGTCTTCCACGGCGGAGCTCTGTGCTTTCTTTCTCTATGAAACATGTGGGAAGTCTCTCCAAAAACACATTCAGTGACTCACTCTTTGGGAAACTTACATCTAACGCAAGACCCCTCAGGAAGGCCTGACAAGACCTTCAAGAACAAAAGAAAGATTTATGGCACTGTTCGGCGAAGGTGCAGAACTAATTGAACACATGTGTACGTTTCAGAGAGAAGATGACGGTGGAAACAGGAATGTTGACTCAAACAGCTGCACTGACCTCAGAAGTCTCAATTCCTCCTCGGTTACGTTAATCTCTAAGGGTGGGATTACACTTGAAGAACACAGCCTTTTTTTTCCAGGTGTGTCTGGGTCATCCTCATAGGAGTCTACATCAAACAACAAGCAGTGTGGGAAAAATACACTGAATGCTTACGTACATCTCTTGAAGTGTATTTGCCTTTTTAATGCTTTTACGTGGAATTTATTTTGTTCTTCTATTCCTATAAATTTGGGGTCAGTAAGATTTTTCAAAAAGGTTTAAAGTAGTCTCTTATGCATTTTTGGAAAAAAAAATAATATTATGAAATATTATTACAATGTTTTCTGTTTTTATATATGTTAAATGCAATTTATTCCTGTGTTGGTAAAACTGAATTTTCAGCATCATTACTCCAGTCTTCGGTGTCACATGTTCACTCAGGAATCATTAATACGCTGATTTGGTGCTCAAAAACCAAATTTTTGATTTTGAATTTTTGTTTATTATCAATGTTGAAAACATTTGTGCTGATTCATATTTTTGTGAAAACCTTGATAAATTTTTTTAAAGGACTGAATTTATTTGAAATAGAAATAGAAATCATTATATATAAATGTCATTACTGTTACTTTTATTTCATTTATGAAATGTTGCAGTATAAAGTATTCATTTCTTACTTCCACAAATCATACTAGTCCCAAACTTTTGAAAGGTACTGTTTAACCCTTATATCATTAGCATTTACCTGTTACCAACCCCTCCAGTCGAACTCTTTCATGGGCAGCATGTTGATCAACCAACACTAGAAGATTTCCTGCAGGTGGAAGCAATGACAAATGTTTAGGACATCATCACACCATTCAACATAATGATTTTCAGCCTGCGGCACCTTCATTTGTACAGCTTTCAGAGGCTTCCTGCTCTGTTGTGTTTATCAAACAAGCAAGGAACTTCTTGTCCACTTGATTGATGACCTGAGGTAAAAATACAACACAACACAATCTTAGGTTAATTTTCACCACATAAGAATAAGGATATGCTTTGTGACATTGCTATTTTAAGTGTCTCGCCTTGCCAGTTCCTCAAAGCACAAAAAGAGCAGAGGGGTAAAAATACTTACTCTCATTGTGTGGATCATATTCTTGGTAAACCGGTAGGGGTAAAGAATATTGTGGATTTTTACAGCAAGACCCTCAGCTTGACCGCTGGTTACATCCACAGCAACCTTTTCAGAATATGTGAGTCAAATTAATTTGAATCTTTTTAACAAAAACTGCCTTACATTAATTAAAATCAGTATTAAATAAGGTTAAATTAATTAAAAAATCTTTAAATTATTTAATTGATTAAATTAGTAGTCTTTTTACCTCTGGAGGCCGTATGAACACTGGGTTACTCCATTCTGAGAATAAAGTCGATAGTGAATCGGGACATTGGGCATCTTCTTAAAAGAGTAAGAAGAAAAACAATTACTTAATGTGCACTAAAAAGCTGATTTCATTCCTGATGTCAGTCTAGAGCTGTACCTCTGCTGTCTATCCCTGAGTTAAGGGCTCTTTCTGCTCTGGGCTTGGGCAGAAAGGGAAGTACAATGTCTGTGTGAAATGGATAACACCTGTACTCAAATCCTATGAGCAAAGAGAAGCTGATTATAATATAAATACCTCTACATTAGTGACCCAAAAATGGCTCACTGAATTTCTCCCACCTGTTCTTGAAATAACACTGACCGCCATGTTAGTGACATCTGTGGTACATGGCACTTGAGTCTCCTCCACAGGAGGAGAGTTGTATTTGCTGAGCCCTGTAACTTGGTTGATGTAAACCAGCTTTCCTAACCAACTGTCATAATGAGCCAGCCAGCTGCTGGACATTGGGATTGTTTCAACACATTCATTTGTAGCCTGACCTTCATTTCCTGTGTTGCTGCACTGAGGATCATGCTGAGAGGTTACGCTGGCTTCATTAACACAGTTCACACTTCCTACAAAGGAAGTCACATTTTTGTTGCAGAGGTGTGCGTCTTCTAAAACGCAGGAAGTGTCCGGTATTGTTGCGTCCTGCTCATTTAGAGTGAAGATTGGAGTTTCATGGACAACTGAATCAACAGTTCCAGTGGATCCAAATAAAACATCTTCTAAGAGGCTTTTTTCTAATTCACAGGACTCTTCTTGAAAGTGTGAGTCTTCCACAACTGGGAAGTATGAATTTTCCATAGTAAGAAAGTCTGTATTTCTGCTGACCTTGCTGAATGGCTGTTTGTCTTGTTTTAAATAGGAACATTTGGCAGCCAATGACAGTTTGTCTGCCTTGTTCCATGATGAAGATTCAGCAGAACATTCAGAACTATATGGAGAATGAGCACCTGATATGTTCCTCAATAAGGGCTTGTCTAAATCTTCTAAACACCAAGTAGTTCCTACAAAGCAGTCATTGTATTTTCGAGAAGACACTGGATTTAAAAGGTTTGTTTTTTCCGTACTTGGTTGTTTTTTCTCAGCACCCTTCCCAAACAACCTTTTGAACTTGTCAAGAGATCCCGTTTCAAAAGACAGAGCTAATTTACGACATGGAGCAGCTCTGGAAGTCTTTGAGTTGGTACCATAAAAACCATGTTTGTCGTCTTCAGTGTCATTTAACGCCAACTTCCTTTTTTTTGGAGAAATTCTATTTGGAAAGCAGAATTTTTTCAAACTATCTTCTGCCTCTTTTCCATCTATAATTGAAATCTTTTGGTTTTTGCTTCCCATCAGGTTGTTAACTGGCAAATCATTATGGCTTATATTTGGACAAACTGCACTTTCATCTTCTTTGCAATTGTTATTAATTTCTGTAGCATCTGCAAACGTGGTCCGCAAAGACAATTCAGCCTGAAGCACTTTTTCTGCTTCTGATTCTTCACTGGAGAAGGTTTCAGTGTTTGTTGACACATTCTCCAACATCTGAACACCACCAGAGACGTCCGCAGTACTTGCATTATCCTTCATCTCAGACAATGCATCACACTCTTCACATGTTTCCTCAGCACTGAGATTTTGTATTGCCACAGGAGTCTTTGCATTCCTCACTGGACTACTTGATGGACCATCGCTGCCATTCATAGAAAACTCTGCCACCAGGTTTTCTTTAGTAAGGAATGCTTTGACACCTTCTTCAATGCAGATGAGCACACTATCCCAGTCTTTGAACTCTATCAAAGACTTGGCTGGTTCGAGGCATATGTCATACTCTGAGTAATGACATTTGATATTCAACACATAGACGCCGTGGAGATCACATCCGCCCCTTTGTTTGGGGCTCGATGTTAACGGATATGCAGTTGGGCTGTTGTTTTGTCTGGCAGCACTGCTTACTCTCTTCAAAAGCCAGTTGAGTGTTTTATGAATGCATGTCTTCAGAAGAAGCCTCCCATTTACAAACAGGAACTGTAAGCTGTTATTGTAGTGACCATCACGGCCGATGTGACCGGTCATTTCGAACTGCTTATGGACGTAATTGACCTCTCCGAGCTTTTGAGCTCGACTCAAGCCATGAATCTGCACAAACCTGTAATAGGTACTGCTTGTTTTAGAGAGCTGCACCATCATGTGGGCTGAATTTTCTTTTTTCACTGTAAATGACGCAGAAGGGTGCATCAGAGATATGGCCTCCACTCTCTGACGGATGCGTTCGGTTTCTAAAACAGCATCCATTCTCTTTCTTCGAACTGGCATGTTGTGGAAGAGATTGTAGACAGATACGGTCGTCCCTACGGAGGGACGAACGGTTTGAGCTTCAACAACATCCAGTGCATTTGTTTCATTAAAAGTTTTAACATATGTTTTCACCGACAGCTTAGTCCTTGATGATATTTCGACCATTTCTGCAAGAGAGACGATACTGGAAATCGCTTCCCCTCTGAACCCATAAAAGCAGAGATTTTCCAGATCCTCCAACGAGCTGCATTTGCTTGTGTTATATCGTAGACCCACTCTTTCCATGTCTTCCCAGCACATTCCCGTGCCATTGTCGATCACCTGAAGCTTGCAGGCCTCTATGTCTATTTTGACAGCCACACATGTTGCTCCAGCATCGATGCTGTTCAATATGAGCTCCTCCACACATTGCTGCAATGAGAAAATAGTAACGCCAGAGCGCAGCTGTGCTTGAACATCTTTGGGCAAACTCTTGATCATTCTGAAAGACATCAATATTAAATCCCTTTAATGCACGGAGGCGAAAAAATCCAAACGAAACATTAATCAAAAGTGTAAGTAACGACGCACGTAAGAGAATTACAATTACTTTCATTTGAATTAATAATTACATTTATATGCCTCTATACCTCTTTGGTGGGTTGTGAGTTTGAATTTGTGACTGAACGTGCAGTAAACAGCCGTCGTTGCCATGTAACAACACCGCTAAGTTTGCTAGTTGTTATTGTCGTTAAGATGCATTTCGGTCCGACGGTTTCCTTTACCGCTCACTGTAACAGGGCGTTCCTGTAACTTGTGATATACATAACGTTTGTATGACATTTCATTCAGTAATTAATTTAAGTGGTACAACCATTGTTTCTGTTATGTGTACAACCTACTTTTACTAACAACAACGCTGTGAACTGTAGCGGAAATGACGTCGAAGGATAAGCCGCAGCGTGAAGCAAGCGACCGCAGAACAACAAGCAACATACTAGTGCAAAATAAAACGTCATGAATAAAAGACTCCATAACCCAAATAAATAATCATTTCACATTAATATTTTGGGAATTATACAATTATTATATTTTTTTCATAGAAAGTACCAAAGTAATTTTTATTTTTATGTGTTTTTGCAGAACCTTAATAGACATAGCTTATTTTGAAATAGGTCTACTTTGATAACATTTCATCAGTGAAGATTTATCAAAAAACTAAAATAAAACAAAACATTAAAATAAAAAATACTCCATATTAAGATATGTGCTCATATACTGTAACTTTTGTTGGTTTACTGCCTGTTTTTTTTTTTTTTTTTTGTAATAATTCTAACAATATTTATATTATGGTATCATGCTTTTTAACTCCTAAAGAATGAGCAAATGATAGAATAAAAGTTTTTCCACTTAGAAAAGCTGTAGCATCTAGTGTATTATTTTGTGTATTATGTTATTTATCTTTGAAATGTAACTGGGGAAAAAAAAATGGATTAAAAATATTTATAATAGTTGATAATGTAATATATTTATTTATTTATTTTATTTATTTATTTAGTCATTTAGCAAACGCTTTTATCCAAAGCGACTTACAAATGAGGACAATAAAAGCAGTCAAAACTAACAAAAGAGCAACAATATATAAGTGCATATACTGATATATAATGTGTGTGTGTGTGTATATATATATATATATATATATATATAGATATATAATACATTTAAATAATAAAACTGTTAATAAAATGTATACATTGGTTATTTATAATAATTATTATTATTATTATTTAATAAACAAAATACATATTTCACATTTTATATTTTTAAACATTTGCAAATTTAAAAATATTTCATTTCTTATTTTTACTATATATATATTAGTATTAGTATTTTACTATATATATATTATGAGGTTGCAAAGAAAAGCAGTTGCAAAAAATATTCAAAGTAATGTAAACATTCTTATACATGATAAATTGGAGCATTTTCAGATTTTCAAAAAACTAATTTCTTTCTCCATTTCAGTTTACATTATGTCAGCTTGTTGAGAGAGAAAGAGAGAGAGAGAGAGAGAGAGAGAGAGAGTTTGATGGTGGTCAGCAGTAAATCTTTACTGTGCTGCTCTCCAGGGTGCTGAAATGCGTTGCTGTTGAATGTGGGGGACATCGTGGCATGTTCTTGGTGACCTTCACAGATAAAGATGTGTCATCAGTATATTAGCTTTAATGAATTAGTGTATAATAGTTAAAACGTAAATAGCGTCGTGTAATGCATGAAAAGCTTGTTGAAAAGTCACTAATGATGCATTTTCACTTGTCACAGCATGTTGTAGTACAACAGAATGGAGTTGCTTGCATTTTGGTTATCATTCTGCATTACTGCGCGCTCTGGAAAGAAACTGAAGTGCATCAAGTAGGAAATTGAGTTAAGACTTAACGCTTGAATTCCTGCCAAGTCAGTCAGTGCTTTGTATTTTCGGTCAAGGTCCTTTTCACATGTGTTAGTTAACGTGCCAATCATCGGGAACATGAGGTGGGATACAGAAGCTGAACAATCGTATGGGCTAAACGAAATGGCGCAATATGAACTGCAGAGTGCGTGAGGGGGCGTGAGGATGAGTTGGGAAAAACTACACGCTCCTTGGGGGATGGCTGTCCTATATATGTAGTGCATTTCATTAACTGAAAAGGATCAGCCGTGTTTTTTTTATGGGAAAAGTGAATTAGTCAAGTCTCTTCTACCACTCCCCACCCAAACCCCCTTTCTGTCTCTCCCCCACCCCTCTCACGTGCACATACGCTCAGGCACCGCCAGGAGATGGGCATGAAACACTCCTGGCTGCCGTGGATCAAATAGCAGGGTATATACGGTGATTGCAGATTCTGCTTATAAACCCAAATGGATATGAAGAAAGTCTGATCTGATCGTATGCTGGTTTAAAGAAGCCTACTTTATCAACAAAAACCTACAATGTGTGGCAAGCCATTTTAACATTAATCCTTAAAACTAACTAGTATCTTTCTGTTCTCTGATTTGCACCCAAATTTGCATACTGTCCAGTATCTACTATATTTGGTTTGAAACTTACTTCATTACTTCACTCAATTTGGACGTACTACATCCGTCATGCTGTTACTGTCACATGACCTAGCGTCAGTTGCATTTCTTCCTTGCCATTCACAAATCTTTTCCTGTGGCTTTATGGCATCTCTGCAGAAGGTCATCTACTTTTCACACTGTTTTTCAGATACTATGAATTCAAACATAGGCTACTATTTTCACATATATGGAAGTATGCATATTCAGACACAGCGTGTGATTCTGAAATCAGCTATTCATGTTTCTTATCTAAACTCCATTTGTTGCTGGTACTTGTTTCAATTTAAGTATTTTTTTTCTATTATTATTTATAGCTGCATGCAACTAAACAGTATATCATTATGAATAGCTGACCAGACACTAGTGAGACACTAGTGTATATTTATTACAATTTTATTGGTAACAGATTTTTTTCAGTTGAACTTAAAATAAATATTTTTTTTTACATAATAGCCATAAATATATTGTTATAAATAAATAGTCTATATGAAGAGTTCCGATGCAAAAGTCTCTAAGTGCCGTTTGAAATTTTCTTCTAAAATGAGCATTTTTATCAGGCTCCTATGTGTAGGTTTAGTAATTTCACATTAAAGGTGGGGTAAGCGATTTTTCAAAAACGCTTTAGAAAACTGATTCGGGCCGAGTAGCAAAACAAACTTGTAGCCAATCAGCAGTAAGGGACGTGTCTACTCCTGATGTGGAGGAGAGAGCGTTCCGTGCACAGGACGGACATTATCCGAGCCGGGCTACAGAAAGATAGAGATGGGGGATAAAAAACAAAAGAGGAAAACGTCTGCGGAACAAAAGAAGGCTTAAGGCAATAAGGCAATAGGACCCGTGTAAATATCGGATCAGCTTTCCAGCGCTGGAGAGAACTCAAGGAGCGGAAGGCCTGCGATCGGACGTCGAGGTTGCTTTGATTCTTATCGATAGGTGAGTAACACCATGTCTGCGCCGCAACAGCTAAAGTCTGTCTAGTACACTGGACGCGACAAAGCGACTGCTGAAAATAATTTGAAATTTGTGTCAATATGTCATAAATAGAACGCAGCAGCAGTTTTCTGTCGGGGATTTGTCATGTCGTGCCGCGCCGCATCCAGTGTAGACCATAGATATGTATATATATCTATGGTGTAGACAGCATCACTGATTATAATGAGAAAATTCGTTTGAAGAACCAAACCAAAGATCAGTTATCACGATTAGAATATCTGTCATCTGTTAAATCATCTCAGATGTATTAAACAAGGTTCAAAGAACGGACCCCTGGACTGGGCACCCCTGCTTTAGACAAAATATAAAACTGTTTTGATACGCATTGACTGATTTACAGCATCACCTTTGCTTAGAAAGAAATTGTGTATGTTATGATTGTAAGAAACCATTTTTGCTTCTAAACATGCAGTTTTGGCATGTGGTTTAACTTGTACTGTTGTGATCTCCAGACGCTTCAGAGAATGAAGACGAACAACTCTCTACCTCAGTAAAGACAGTCAGTCGCAAGCATCACATCACAGAAACGGGTAAGTAGTCAGTAGATCAGTTAGACATGTTATTATTAGGGTTGGGTACCGTTTACATTTTAACCGGTATGGTATCGGTACCTGAAATTCGGAAAAAATAAGCCCAAAACAGGTTGGTTCGTTTGAGTTTTCCCTCTTTTCCTCGCTTTCCTTCTCTTTTAAATAGCTTGTAAAAGCACTGTGCGTATATTACTTTCACTTTCAAATTAGCAGCAATTTGCTGTCGATTAAATTCAAGCAACAACAAAATACAACGCCAAACTCATAGAACTTTTATGAACAAAACGGATAAAAATAAACCATGCTATATGCCTAATATAAAATAACAAATTACTTGGGCTACACAAAGTTTAAATAGGTATATAAAACTGAAAATCAGCAAACACTGTGGAACAAAATAAATAAGAAACATAGAATGTTTATTAGCAAAACGAATAGGAACGCTTGGAGGCACAGCATATACACCTTTATGTAAAATAAAATAAATAAAATGCACAAAGTTTAAATAAAGTAATCCGCAAACACTGTGGAACCAAATAAATAAGAAACTAATGTTCGGCACACTGCATTGAGCATT